GATACAAAATATTAGTAAACTCACTGTTTGAGTGATACACAAGCTGAAGAGCAAAATGTTATTTGCATATTTTACTGTACTTGTATACAGAAGAAAAATCAAAATGCTAATTTCACTTAAACATAGGACAAATCCCACCCCTCTACTGCAAGGAATACTCAAGAATATCATTCTGCGGAACAGAAGTTTTCACCTGGCATCTCAGATGCACCAACAAATACTTTTCTTTGGAACCACAGCTAAGCAGTTAAGGCAAAGAACACGTTCATTATTTTTAAGATTTATTATAGCTGGTTTTCAGATCTATTTTCACCATTTTTGTGCTTATTTTGGATAAAATCTATTCTATTAAAACACATCCAACACTTCCTGAGCACAACATGTCCTACTCTAAGTTTTTACAAACCTAAGCAAAAACCTGAAGTATAAAATTAGACTTAGATCAATAACATCTACAATACTTTATATGTATAAATCTTAATACTAATATATATATATGTATTGAACTTAAAAGGTCAAAAATTAACTGTTTATCACCAAATCATTCAAAGGTACTTGAGGTGTGTTTTACCAATGTAAACGTTGAACGGATCAAACAGTAAGCACGTGCATGTTAGATGTGTATGTTCTTTTCACTCTGTTTTCAAACGTGTCGTAAGTGCTACCCGATTATATTTCGCAGGGTGCATTAAGGCCACTTGGTACTTACACCCTTTCTTCACCCCCGACGGTCACTATACACTCGGAGTAGCCCCGGGGCTTGAAGGAGGCCAGCATGGCCTCTCCCTGCTGCGGGGGCGTCAGGGGAATGTTGTTGCATTCCTTGACAATCTCCCGAACCAGCGGCTCGCTCATCATCTGCTCGCGCAGGTACGTGGCATCCAGGCCCGAAACCCACACTGCTGACATCACATCCTTCATGTGAACCTGCAGGACGGAAGAAAATTGCCAGCGTCTCACAAAACAGCACTAAAGCACTCGTACATACTGAAATCTCTGCGTCGATCTAAACTTGGAGTATTTGTGGTATTTGGAAGCAATAATAAACACTACATCTGCACTACAAGGTTTAAAAAAGATGAAGTCTTCAAAGACTCACTGAGAAGGTACAACTTGCTTTCTCTCTACAAAAATAAGACACCACTAAGGCCAAATAACTCAGTTTTGACTTAATGCCTATTAGAAGCCAGCATCACAAACATAGCAGATAATACATCCCAAACAAAGCTTTCATTCTTTTGCTGCCATCCCCTCATCTGCATTTTGGCAAAATTCCAATTAATTATGTGAATGCAACAGCAGCCCTGGAACACATGCATCTATTTTAAGCTCCTACCAATTAGAATATACATAGTTGAGTCATATTCAAAAAATAAACTCTTGGATATCCTGACCTTTCTTGACTCTGCATCATGAGAAATCCATCTGATCACTGCTTCAAAGACGTATCTTTCGTTCCCAACATTGAGCTTTTCCATTGACAGCACTTCTTTCAGTTTTTTTGGAGTCAGTTCCAAGAATTCCTCTGTGCTGCTGACATCTCGAAAGTGAGTTTCCAGATACTCTGAGGCAAGGTAGTGAACATGATGCAAACAATAGTGTAGTGCAAAGTCCCGAATACCAATACAGTTCTCAGCAGCTATACAACCTTCTAAAAACTCACAGCAGAGAGCTTTTAAATCTGTAAGCAGCAGGAGATCAGCTGCCTGTACCACATCTTGGATAGTTTCTTCATTTAGCCTGATCTGCAAGAATTAATTTAGAAGTTATAGCTACCATTACTCATTGCTACATGAGATGTCCACATTCATAACACTCATTCTCAGTGGCTGAGAAAGTGAACATTAATGCCAATATAAGATTTATGAGAAATAGATGTGATTACAACACATTTATAAATGAACAGAGGACCGTGAAAGGCATTAACTTAACAGAAGGTATTTGCAGAATTTTATGTCTGAAGGAACAATGAAATTGCTAATCTAATCCAAGAACATAAAATGATTTTTTTAAAAAAGTATATCCAGAAAAATAATTCAGCTGCCTTTTCTTTTTCTGCTGAAAGCTGAATCAATTTGACAATCTCAATTGGCCTCCAAATTGACTCAACAACCCAGTGTTAGTCCCTACTAAAACGCAGCAAAGATCAGCCCAGACTGAGCAGGGGATCTTGCCACCAAAGACCTCAAAACTGGACGTTATGGGGAGCACTAAGGGAGGCTGCCTGATGTACTGAAATATACAAGTTCAGAGACAGGGTCTTAATCACCATTGCTACCAACTCAATTATCTTTTACTGTTCTAAGAGAATGCATATTTTAATATTAGATTACTGGAAATATTATTCACATTTTTTAAACAAGCATTTGACACTAAATCTTTTAATGGGTCCTCTCCCACTGTATCAGAAGAGAGAAAGATCATGAAACGCTTAGTCTCCTTTGCACAGGCAAAACTTAAGTGTGATTTAGTGCTTTACAGGAGAAAAAAAAAAAGGATCAGTTTTTAAAGCAAAATTCTGAATGGGATTATCTTTCTGGTTAGCAGTGTTAAAACTTTATTTTGCTGAAAAAAATCATTTTGTCTAGCTCTTTACCTGCCCACTGAAGATGTAATCTAGTATCTCTTTCATGATATCAACTGATATTCCTTCAAGTTCAATCTTGTACGTTGAGCCATCATCTTTTGGGGGATTATAGTTCAATTTTGTTCTGAGGAAGGAGAGAAAAAAAAAAGTGCTCATGACCTAGGAATAGAATTTTTTCTTTAAAAACAAAACAAAAAAGCAACAAGCAAGCTACAGATCACTTAAGCAGGAACAGATATGTTAAAACCCTGCAATGTGATTTGAGAATTCTATTATTTAGGACAAAAAGGGTGCATTTGCGGTCTCTGGGATTGCTCATCACATTTCCAGACTGAACAATTACATGAGCCTTGCAAACTTCTCCTGGCATCAGAGAGTCAAAGTAATTTTTTCCTGGCTCAGTCATCACAGACATTCATAAACTTCAATCAGGACTTAGTCACCCAGTACTGCTGATGGATGAAACGCAAGGATTTGCTTTGGTAATAGAGAAGAAAACTCCCACCCCACGTCCCCACGGTCCCGCACCTCCACACCCCCTCCAAAAACAAAAAACGTTACCCAAAAGAGTCATTAAAATGAGCAGATGGGACCAGAATGCACAGTGGCAGCATAAAATAGTAATGCAATCAAAATATTTAAGTCATTTATGATGTTATCTTCTTATCATCATATCTGGCCACAGCTGAACTGCATACTCACAGCTCTAGGAACTAGACCATGTTCTGCTGAATCAAGCTTTAAATATTCATCGAAACCATTGGACACTTTACATTATATTTATATATATATACACACAAGCTATTAAAAAAGAAAATATATAGACACATATATAAATATATACACAGTCAGAAGCCATTTGATGCCCTTTTGAACAGAAAGGCATAAAACTGAGGGAACGAGACGGGGAATAACGCTGCAGCAGCAGAGCTGTCATCCCATCACGTTAGCACAGAGGCTTTTCCAGGAAGGAGCATTCCAGGTGTTGGGAGAGGAACACTCTCCACCCAGCCAGGAAGAACAGCGATGAGAACTCTGAACACCCACTCTCACACAAGGAACTAGGAATACAACATAAAAGGACCAGAAAACTTGTTTTCACTGCCCGATAATATCGCTACACATATTTAAATAAAAGCCTTTAAATATATTTTCATATTCATTTCAGTATACTTCTAACATTTAATTAGCTTCTTTATGTGAAAAACAGTGCTAAGCTAAGCTGCAGATGTCCTCATTTGTCACTGCTGTCCGCTATCCTTACACTAAGTAAGGACATAAATATGATTTACCTAGGAGCCAGATTCTGCTTCACTTGCTCAGACTTAGAATAAACCAGTTCCTCACAAAATAAGATACTACTCTCATTAAATAAAATCCTGGTCTATAGAAAGTGATATCAAAGTGTGAATAATCATGATAATTTTAGCTCTTGGGTCAGTCATATTTGTGGACATTTCTCGTAACTTCTCTAAGCTGCAAAATATCCATCCCCACTCATCTGGACACTCTCAGATTTAACATTATTCTGATTCATGCACATGACTAAGCTCTCTGAAGCTCAATTTTTTTCATTCTATATTTGTACAGCACCTATCACAAGTTACACAAACAACAGTATTAATAACACAATTTGGATGAGTAAGTTATTAACAGTATTAACAATAACACAATTTGGATGAGTAAGTTATTTTTCCCCCCTCTAAGAGGTGGAAAAAGATCAAATGCATTCTGCATGACACAGAATAAAGCACAGGCTACCCTAAGAGAAGCAGATCTGTGACCGGTCAGTTGAAAAGCCCCCAAAAAAAGATAGTTCCAGCAACGTGGACCCCCTGCACCCCGGCTGCTCCACGCGCTCACGGCCGCAGGCTCCGAGCGAGCGGGAGCACGCGCTGATGCTGAACTCCAACATGGCTTCCATTTGATCGCTGGGTCTTTACACGGATTTTTCAAGTCTATCCAGCGTGTCTCAATTTTAGGTACGCCAATTTAGTTGAATTTTGGGTTCCTCCACTTTTAATAGAGGCTACATCTTGTTTTTTGGAATGAAGTTGTATTTTTTATTTTATATTTTTTCAAAAAGTTAAATCTGCAGCATCCTTCCTGGAATCATCAACACAGAAAGAAAAAGTGGAAAAAAAGATCCAGTGAGCTGGGATACATTCTGATAGAGCAGAGACCTGGGTATTTCAACGCACTGTGGGTTTTAAACCAGGTGCAAGGCACAGAATAAACAAGCTGCACGCCAGCACTAATGGGAGATTAGTGTAAGGCCTGGTGCTGTTTATCATGAACTTTCATCTCGGCATCACCCGCACACACCCAAGCTAAATCACCTCCTTGCACGGACTTTACACGACACCTCCTGGAAACAAACAAGTGTAGTTCAGAGTTTGGGGCCAAACCAGTTACTGGACTCGATGCTCCAATTGCTGCATGTTATTTTAGGCCACATTTGTTTATCTGAAGGAGGGCAGGGTGGAAAAGCACTTGTGTCAACCAAACAATACAAACCCCTAGCAGAAAAAAAAAAAAAATATATATATAGATAGATAGATATAGATATATATATTGTTTTCCTTCCAAAAGCCTAAATGCAAACCCCACTAACTCCAAAGTTACTCAGGACAAATATTAATATCATTCAAATAAATCATGGCTGGTTTCCATTGGAAACTTCACGGAACTGCCCTGAGAAACAGCAGTTACCTCACCTATCGGTCCCACATCTTTTTGGTTAGTTAAGTTACTAAGTTCTGTCTCTCAACAGACAGATTTCCAGACCACAGCACAAGAACCGCTGCCCAAGAGCGGCTGGAGACAACTCCTTGCAGCTTCAATCAGCACTGCAAGGCTGTGGGAGGAGAGAAGGAAAAAACAAAGCAAAACGGTGGAAAAGGGGATGGGTTATAACCAGGTTTAGGGCTGAAAAAGCTTAAGAAAAGCTAAGGAAGAATGAAGAGTTCAGGTAAGAAATCAGGAGGAGGAAGGCGGGTAAGAAGGCGCTGCCGCCCCTCGCGTCACCCGCTCTCAGGAGCCATCAGTTTCTGATCACTCCAAGCACATTTTAAATTGCCAGACCACAGGAGAAAAGGCTGCTTCAGTCTTCCTTAATGCAGATGAAAGATGAGAAGATCAAGAATTAGAAAGGAAAGACATTGCCTGGGAGAGAGCGCACTTGACAGAACAGATGCATGCAGGGCTGCAAAGAGATACAGGGAGGACAATACAGAAACAACATCCCAAATTCCTTGTCTCAGTTTCGTAAGCCTTCTAATTTTCAGCAGCTTGACTCTCTACTTTATGCACTTTAGAAATCCGTTTTCATTTTTTTCCAATTATAAAAGATTGCCACTATAAGAGAAAGCTGTTCCCAATTTATACAGGAACATAAATCAAATGTTCTACAAACACAGCCCAAGAATTATGAAATCTCTTATATCTGTCAGGAAAACAGCCTGGCATGTACCAGTCAAAAACAAGCGCAGTATTACAGAAACACAGATCTAGAGTCTGCTCTTCCACCTTGCTTAAGAAACACAGTCTCAGTGATCTCCAAGTTGTTTAATACACTTTTTTTTTTTTTTTTTTTTTAAAGAAACCAAGATACAAGCAAAGCCTATTTAGAAAGTGGCCTTGCACCTGAAAACGTCTTGTTCTTATCTTTTAAGTCTGACCTCAGAAGGGGGCAAAATAAAAAACAAAATGAAAGACAAAACAAAGGACTCAAACACCACATAGAAAGTTTGCTTTCCCAATCAAGGCAGACATAATTCTGTGGGAATAATCTTATCTGTAAAGTCTGTACTTTATTTACAAGCTATTATGGAAAGATAACCCAGTGTATTTCTCCAACAGTGACATAAGTTACAGTAGAGTTCTTGAAATGCTTTAATCCTTGGAGTGCTGGTACATTTGTACCTCATCAGGCAAAGAAAACATCTGCCAAGATTATACCCTTATGAAAGAATATATTCCAGACCACATTCACCTCAAGGAGGTTTGCAGTATTTATAGTCAACAGCAATTGGAAAATGTGGGAAACACGGCAGGTTGCTTTCTTTTTGATAGTTTACAATGAGAAAAGAACGAAGGGTAAAATAAATCAAAACTTTTTGCACTGCAATGATGGGAAAAGCAGCCAACAATGCAGCTGCACTGACCTGCTTATAAAGCTGTAGTACAATGTCAGAAAGAGAACGTCAAGAGACAAGAGGAAAGTCAAGAGACAAGAGGGAAATCTCTTTCATTTGGCAAGGCAACTTCTTTCAAAAGGAATGAGTTTGCTCCAAGCAGGCTAACCATAAGGGCCAATACATGCCAGAAAAGCTTTGCCAGTACTGCGACAGAAGGACTGAAGGAGCAAAACAACCCAAGCCAAGGAGTCATTTTGCAATATATCCTTTGTCTGCACCACTATTTTGGCCTTCTCAAGAGAGCATTTTGAAAAAGAAGTCACACCTCTAACCAAAGTTGCCAGCAAAGACATGTACTGAGACCAGAACATGCTCACAGATGTGACTCAGGCCCAGGCTAGAACGGGATCCCTATCAGGCATTAGGGAGCACCAGAAACAGCTAGTCAGTGCTTTGAGTTTTTGCATTAATCAGGAGAAACTTAAAAACTTCGACTTCAATGGAAACACCACCAGTTTGGTCTCTTAGTTTGGGCTTCTTTATGTGGGGTCCTGAGTCTTATGGGTCTGCCTTTACACCCACAATACTTCTCCCACCAAGGCTGGTCTTTCTGCATACAACAAATAAATACTAAACGCACCACTAAATAGGTCAGACACAAAAACATGATGCAGCAGTTTACACCACCCTCTCCCCTCCTCCAAAAAGCCATTTTACAACCAAATCAGTAGGTTTTCTTTGAGGTCGCACCCTGGCCTTTAGCAGCAGGCATAAAAGGCTGTGTCTCCACCACACCCTGCTCCCGGTGCCAGCTTCCCCAGCACTTTGGCTGGGCCTCTCTTCTTGAGATTATCTGTACCTGCAACTCCAGGTCTCAAGGCAAAACAGTCCGCTTCACAGCTCAGCATAAAAAGCTCCAGAAGATGCCCTGCTTTGTTTGAGGGGAAGAATGACTAGGAACCACTTAAGGTTTGCAATGGACAGAAAAATCAAGAGTCAGACAAATTTTAAGCCGTCACAGTAGAGAAATGAAGGAAGCAAGTCCTTCCACAGCAGCACAGGGTTGGTGTCCGGGGTTCATGGGCTCTGCTCTGCAAAGGGCTTGTTTACCCCGAAAATTTGAAGCGACTCTTGATTACACTGATCTCATCCCGAGCTAGATTATAATCTAAATGAGATCTACTCCCAACCAGCAGGTCTTGCCTAAACATGCGAGTTAGCCATAAGTAGAGAGCACATGCTCGGCTAACCCGGCCTCCATAAGTTCTCAGAGCCTTAAACATCTGCACGTACCACCTAAATTTTCTTTCTTGTTTCTTTTTTTTGGTCAACTTATGGAAGATAGGAGAAAAAGTATTTTTTAAATCGTAGCAGGTGAGTACAAACAAGTCACTAACACAAGCAATGCAAAGGAGCAGGCTCAGGCCACAGATGGCTTAGGTCAGACACCTGGTCTGCAGCACAAAGTGAAGCTTACGGCTGCAGCTGATTCTGCTACCTTGTCACAAACCACAGATTTATGATGTGCCTTCTTATATAAGAAATCTTTTACAGCAGTGCACTTCTGGGACACATTTGGGAATGCACCATCTCATAGAAGACATAATTTTGAAGTGTGACACTTCTGCGACACTGAATCTGGAAGGGTTTTGTTTTTACACCTAATAGTCCTTTTCCTTAGCAGGCAGTAAGCTGGTTAACATGAAGTACTGTTCAAAGCATCTTCTTGGTCAACTAAATCCATGTGACACTTGTGACTTTTTTGTGCTTTATGGGATGCCCAAGTTCACTCACTCAATAAACAGATGATTCATCAGACTTTCACTCCACGTAAGCTGAAAATTACAAGACACTTTCTACTAACAGCAGTAGCCTACATATCAGGCAGCAGGCTGGACCCAGGACTCGCTGTGAAGGAAGGGGGAAAGCATTTGTGGAACACAGCTTTAAAACAACAACCGAACATTAACTTACCTGAAAACGCGCTTTCTGTCAAGTTACCTTTGTTTTTAAATTTAATAAAATGCTTTCTTTAAAGAAGCAACAGCAACATGCCCACGTTGTTAAATCTGGGGTTTAAAATATTGAAGTGTGTAGTACTGCACGGTGTTTCTAATAACCTAAACGTTTCTGTGATTTATTGCAATCGCTTTGGAAAGCGCTGATGAGCTCACCAGGAAAACTTCTTTTTATCAGGTCTTTATACCTCCTTCTTACAGCACATAGATGAAAACTTAATCAGAACAAATAGGATTTCCACAATTGCTGGGAAAAAAGAACACCTAAAATTAAAGTACATGCAAAATACCACAAGACAGTGAGAAGAGGGAAACAAGCACTGTGTTTGTGCATGAACCCAACTGAGGAAAGCACCAACCTAGATGCACTCAGAGCCGGAAAACTGAGGTCTGCCACACTGCAGGGAAAAGCAATGGCAAAGCCAAAAGAAAAAGGAAGCAGAAGGATGCATTTCACTGGCACAAGAAATGAGCCAAGAGCCTACAATTCAGAGTACTAAAAACATCCCCAACTACAGTAACGGTTGTATTAGGCAGCTTAAAGTTGCACAGGTGGTATAAACCAATATGCCTCGGCACACAAAACAGTCACTAAGCACCTGGTGTTAGGAACTTCCTCCCTTGATAGGCAACAAATAATTTCAGAGCTGTCGATAACAGTGACTTTTTTTCTGGTTCCTCCTTCGGCTATATTAAGCAGCAACAAAGACTAAACAGGGCAGACAGAAGCCAGGCTCCAGCGTGGCAGCGTGCAGAGGGCAGACACCTTCCTATCACTGACGGAGCCTGAAGGAACAAGGTGCCAAGAGGGGATGAGTTCTCCAAGCCCATCAAACAGTTTCACACAGTCTCAGGAATTCTCTCCCTTGCAGGTCCTCATTTGCAGCCCAGACCAATGCAAGCAGAACAGACTGAACCAAGCAGAGCAGCAGAGCGCTCAGCTCCGCATTCCTCTCCCCAGACAAGGCAGCACCTCCAGGAGAGTCCTGTTCCAGCCACAAAACCGCTCTCGAGCATGCAAGAAAAATGATTAATAAAAAAGTCCTCTTAATAATAAAGATTGTGCCAGGCAAGGCAATTAGCAAGGCATAAAGGCTACCTAGAGAGTGTCAATTACCCGGACATCCCAGAAATGTCCATTCCGGCCGGGCCCGCCTCGACGCTCGCACGTACGCAGCGTCTCCGGACGCGGCAGGGCCGCCGCGTTCCAGCGCCCGTCTCCCTGCACACACAGCCCGACCACGTCCCCTTGTTCCCCACCGGATGCACGGAGCGGCCCAGCTGGATTCGTGCTCTCTTCCGAGCAGGGCAAGACGCTTTTTGCTTCCTTCCTCCAGGCCATCTTTTAGGGGCTTGTTAGGACAGGAACACAATTAACAACTCCCCACGCAAGCCCCGTTCAGCCCTTTTCAAACCCCAGTCGTAAGCTCCTGTCCAACCCTTGCTGCTGCTGCCCCCAGTTACTTGCTGAGACCCAACACACATTGAAACACTCCACCTGAGCTTTGCCTTGTACACACAGCTCCTGTATTTGGCCAATATTTGGCTTTATCGCTTCTCAGAGTTACAGACGCTTTGCAAAGAGCAATTAATTCGGATATAGTTAAAGCATCACAGGTGACACTTCAGTTTCATGGAGAACGTGTTCCCCACTAAAAACAAACACACAAAAAAGGCTTTAAAACAACCTGCACTGCTCCCCAGGAAACCAGCACAAACCCCTTGTAGAAAAATGGTGAATGTGGTTTGGTTTTAAACCCTCCCTGGTGAGGCAGCCGGGCGAGCTCCTGCGCTGGGGCCTTGCAAAGAGCCGGCTGGTGGAAACGGAGCAAAGGCGCCAGCCTTGGACCTGAAACCAGCACAGAGCAGTGCACTTGAGAAAACAAGGCCCCCAACATGAGAGCACCCCCTGACCTTAACAGCACCTTAGTTGCACTTTCAGTGTTAGCCACGAATAGATTGCCTTGTGGAGCACTGTTTAAAACGCCTTTTTATAAGTGCCAGCATAGGCTAGCAGGAAAACAGCAGCAGAAGCAACTGGTACATGGTGGCTTCTACCTCACGCTGCTGCTGCCCGTCAAAGGGGACCCTTGTGGGACAAAACCAGCCGCAGCCAAGGCCGGCTGTCCCAGGAAGCTGCCGCGCACACGTCACATCCCGGTCACATCCCACACGTCTCACCAGGGTTAGCGACACTCGGGTGAATCCACACAACAAAGAAGTTTCAGCGTCCCCTTCTCACAGGCTTTGTGACAACTCAGAACGCAGCGAGGAAATACTGTTTGCTGGAAAGAAACATGGATCTGGTGACAGCGTTTCCAAGCAAGGCTCCGTGGAAATCGGCTCAAGGGAAAGTCCTCTGGCTGCACAAGGGTCTTGCAAGGTCAGCTGGTCTGGGAGGTTCAGGGGACATTAGCAGGACAATTGAGAACACGTAAGTGCAGCCACGTTACTTCTCACCAAAACCAACTTAGAAAAGAGTGATTGTGCAACAGTGATTTTTAAGTAAATGGAAAGTAATATGAACTTATTTTGCATTTTCCAGGTGAGAATAGAGCCCTGACAGCAAAAGAAAGATGAAAATATGGTGGTAGATCCTTAACTAAGTTTGGAGAGCCTTGTAGAAGAGTATTGCGTACATATATCCATCTACAATCTGTTCGTACATATGTGTGACAATAAAACATGCCAAGATAGCAAAAAACTCATCATCTGATTTTAAATACTGCGCTATGGACAGATGAACTGAGCAATCACTGCGTAACACTGTTTACCTAGGAATCTGAGTTCAAACATTCTCCCTGTGAAAACAGTCTTTCTAAGCACCCTGCTATGTAGGCTGGTATACAGCACAGTAACCAATTATTAAGAGCAGAATCTTAAGAGCCGCAAACTTCAGCTGGCCACAAACTACTCATGCTAGACAGCAACAGACCCGTTTGGAGGACAGCATTTGCCCCCACTGCTGAGGATACCAGGAATACTTGCACCAAGCCTATCCTATAAAAGGTTTGTGGATATATGCTACTACCTATGCCAAAATTCCCAGTGTAAACACAGTTTATCCTGCCAAAAGCTCCCTTACGCCTGTGTAATTCATACCAGATTCACAAATGAAATAAGTGAAAAACCAACACAACTCTGGCAGTGGAGTTTTGTCTGTATTAGGGATATTGCAGGACAAAAATTGTGTTTAGGGAAGAAAAAAAGGACAGGTTCTGGCTGATTTGTTACAGCACACACACAAAAAAAAAGACACAGGCTCCAGTTTAACTTCTCCAGGCTGCACAGCCTAATCCTGCTGAGCCAAATCACGTCTGTCTGAGGGCAGGATCTTCATTTGGGCTTCTCCTTTTCTCAGGCTCGGGAGCAGACCACAAGATGTTAGAGATACGCTGGGAGACTTCTGGTTTCTGCAGGCAGCCGGGTTTGCTCCGGAGGCAGTCGGAAGGATGAGATAAGCCCGCACATTTAGGGCAGCTCTGTGGGAATTTACACAGCAGCCCAAGAGCTCACTGTCCTCGGAGCTGCAAGGGACACGGCTTTAAGCAACTCAGGCAAAGCTCAAGAAACACACTACCACAAAAAGTAAAGTCTTGTGGTACCCCAGAGAGTGTTTTTTTCTTTTTTTCCATAAATCCAGCATTTTATTCTGTATTTGCAGAACTAGCCTAGGGAGAAGACAGACAGATGGGACCTGCAACACTGGTAAGACGGCTGCATGCTGCTGCTTCATCTTCACATCCTCCCTCCTCTTCCCTTTGAGGCTGCCATTTTCGAGCTCTGTGGATAATCCCGTTGCCAAATAACCAGAGGGAAGCCACACCACTGTAATTTACAAGTGTCCCACTCACTAGTCAGCCAAAACACCTCCACGCAAACCTAAAAACAGGTAGCGCTCCTCTCGCTGCAGCTACACAAATCCTTCAGCACCCAGACTCCGCTCACACCCAAGCCGCCCCCTCAGAAAATCCCATGCTTCCCGATTTTCCCACTCACACCCTAAACGAGGTGTTTGTGCGAACCCTGCGCAGCTTCCCCGCTTGCCCCTAGCCAGGGCACACAAAGACAGAGCCAGAAAGAGAAAACAGAGCCAGCAAATCCCACCACCGCCAGCTGCACAGCTCCCACAGCTGCTCATTCTACCCAATAATATCTCTGAAGTTAGCTACTAGATGTGCTGAGCTTTATATTGGAATTTTGAAGTGAAAGCAACCTAAGTTAATTAACAACTGAAGGCTTAAACAGACCACAGTACCAAAGCATGCTTTGAAATCACCTGAAATCATCTAGCCACCAAATGCTTTTAACATTAATTCACAGATCTCCTCTAGTAACTTTTTACATAAAAATTACATCAGTCACTTTATTAAAAATGGCCAAAAAAAGTTTCTTAATGCTAAATGGCACTAAGTATTTGTAGAAATTAAGAACAGGCTAAAGGTGATGGCTGTCTCTAAAAAAGAGCCACAGGACTGTTAATTTGGGGTTAGAAACTTACATCTCCCATATGAGCACCCTACTTGACCATTTGTGCCCAATAATAAGAGCAGGTGGCATAAGAAAGACCCAGAGTGGTAGAAAGAAGGGAGACAAACAGCATATGTAAAAATAGGGTTCTGCAGAAGTAGGCAAGACAGGTGTGTTCCTTAACACGCCACAGGAAAACTTGGTATGTGATATTTATGGCTCACTACCTGTTGCAAGCACAAGCAGAAGTGATGAGTAAGCTTGAAAAAAAATAGGTATTTATATATAAATACATGTAACCTACATTCACACATAGCTAATGAGTTCCTTGATGGGATCTGAACCTGAACAATTTTAAGTTTAAAACAACCACAACTCTAATGACTGTTTTGTTGTTGTTAATGCAGTTATGTCTGCCTCTGACTCTTCACACACGCTTGGTCAGCTCATGCTTCCAAGAACATTTGTCAGAGGTCAACGACAAAACGCAACATTTAAAGACGAAATTCTGTGACTAAGATATTTTCTGTAAAATAATCTAGGGCATCTTTTAATTAAGTAGCCTTTTCATAGCAAAAGATGGCACAGCTCATGTAAACACGTAACAGCAGGGTGGCGGTTTTTCCAAGAATACAGCCTCTTTCCATCTATCCCAAAACCTTCTCCTCAGCCAAGGAGTCTGTGCGAGGACACTAACTTCAGATATGACACAGGACCATCTGAAGTACTTGTCATGATGATCAACGGGCTAAAAAATACCCTGGCATTTTGAAGAGTATTGGATCAGCTGCTCAGATTTATTGCAGCCTCGTGTCTCTGGTCGGCCTTTCACCACAATGGCAACCCAAGACAGGAAGTGAAGAAAGAAAAATGACTACTGGTATTTCAGCTTTTTAGCACCATTTTGAAAACTCTTGCTGCTCTTACTTTGGTAAAAACCTTTTATTTACTCTCACAGAGAGGTGAAGAGGCGCTATCAAACCTCCCCATGGGGAGGTACTTTTTCCACTCTATGGCAGCAGAGCCCTCGCCGCTGAGCGCAGGAGGGAAGCGGGCAGGGCCGCGGGCACCTCCTGGAAGAGGTTTCCCTGGAATTGGCCCAGGACAGCGGCCAGCACGGACGGGGAGACGGGGCTGAGCACGGGCCGGGCCTGGCACCGGGCACCCGCCAGCTCCCCGGAGCCACAACAGAGCTCGAGTCATGGACGTTGCAGGCGCGACGGAAAAGGAGAGGGGATGAAGCCAGCGGGCTTAAACTCAGCAGGGGACGCCAATAACCTGCCCTGGGTACTGCTGGAAACACCCCAAAAAGGGAGACCCCCCC